TGCTGCTAAAACAAAGAGAATAGACGAGTATAAAGGACGATCGGCGTCGGCGCGGGTGATGGTGACTCGTCTTACATACAAAGTGCAGCAGCTGCGATTTCTTTTTTTTCTCTCTCACTCTGTAATATTTTTCACAAGTTTTCCTCGTCGCGTTTATAAAGCTTTCGCATTCCGAATTTTCCTCGAGTACGCGCGGTATTAATGTATTCTTTTTTTTTTACGCTTGGATTATGTACGAGATGTCAGGTCGGGTATACGCGCGCGCGTTGGTCACTATACCGCAGCAGCGCGCTACAAGTTAGCACACGCACGCGCGGAGGAAAGTTTTAAATTCAGCGGCAAACTTTATTGTGGATTATACAAACACACGCTCGGCTGTTTATGATTTATGCATTTGTCGACTCTGTGCCGTTTTTTTATTTTTATTTTTATTTTTTTTTTTTTTTTTTTGTTCAATTTGTTAAACTCGTGACTCCGTGCGCATCGGTGGTACAACGATAGTGCGTGCGTAACGCGCAAAAAGCTCACCTGCGCGCGAGTACATATAGCGTTTGTACTCGCGCGGTAGCTCGTTCGATGGGGCACAAAATCAGTCGCGACTAAAACGACAAGTCTTTAATTACAATAAAAGCCAGTAGCGCAGCGGCTGTATTTTGTGTGCGTATTATGTATAGTACGGCAGTGTCGCGAGAGCCGCGAGTTGACACACAATAGCCAACAACCGGCGAAGATTTTAACGAGGTTAATGTTTTGAATTTCGAACCCGCCCATTAGCCCTTTAACCACACACACAGATACAAACACACAACTCTCGAGAACTCCGCGGCGCTGCCACATAATAAAACCCCTCTTCATTAACATTCAGCTGCGAGCTGCGGATGACTCTGTAATGCACCGAAACACCGCATTAATCCTCGAATGATACAATATAATAAAATAACAATAACTGCGTAAGATAACTGCCGAGTCAGTGGATTTTAAATTCTCATTTAATTGATCTTGCTCTGCGGTACTTTCGGAATAATTAGGTGCGACGGGGCTGAAACGCAAAATTATAATAATTAAAATGAGAAATTAAAAAAATGATCTAAAACTTATCTAAAAAAAAAAAAAATACATACCCAAGCGTTGGTAGAAATGCTCTACATTAATTGTGGTAAATCTATGCATCGCAATTTATGGGTTTGTTTTTTGGGCGATATTATTGCTGACATTATTATGCTACAAAAATCAAGCTCATTTCAAATGGTCTAAAAATTAAAAAATTAACTGTCTAAAAAAATTTTGAACATTTTTCAATCACTTCGAGTACGGTCTCGACACTTCAAGTCTTCAACACTAGATGGCGAGCTACTTTATCTATAAATCTGCAAGTGGGAAAGTGAATATAAATTTTATAAGTAAAAAATCAAGCTCTTCGTGCAATCGATGTTGTTTGGTCTAGGTTTGACCCCTAAACAAGTTTTGGAACAGACATATTCGTAACAAAAGGTAGATTCCCTTTCAAGTGCAAACATTAACCATCAGTCGAGTAATTTCGATGCTCTACCAATTATTATTTGAAATATACGCTTTAATCTTCGATTCGAAATTACGAATTATCGATCATCAGGTCTCTAATTGCCTGGAAATTTCAATTACCTCAAAACTGACCCAGTTTGAAAAATGCTCACAAAAAGAGAGCAGCGCAACCGCGCGAACTAATTATCTAGGTGCAGAAAATTAAGGGAATTGCTCGAATCCTTTGAAACGTTTGTTTACACGCGCACGCACACAGCAGTGGAACGAGGAAAAAAAAAGTGACGAGTCAAAATATTTATACGTCCGCGTGCGTCGTGCGCATCTCGTCGTTGGGGGGTCGGAGGGTTTTGCACGTGCCCCACGTATGTATACACTAACACATACGTGTGGAAGCTCGACGAGCCGCTAGTTTAATCGAATCTCCGCGCCGCTGCTTGCCTCGCAAAGCTCTTGCTTTCTCTCTCTCTCGCATTATGGCTTGAAAGGTTAATGTATACCTCGCTGCTGCTGCTGCTGCTGCAAGCGCACTATAAAGTCTAAACGTCCTCCTCTCACGCGCTGTACGTACAGTCACTGCTGCCTCTGCTATATCAGCCCGACCGTGTGTGACATTAATGTTCTGTTTGCATAATATCCTGTGCCGCACTTTTTTTCCCTCTCTCTCTCTCTGCTGTGCGCCAATTTCGGGTGATCCCTTGTTTGCTCGCGAATCGCGATGAATAAAATATCCATTTCACCCCGGCGAAATGAAATAATTCGCGCGCGCGCCGCTCCGAAAATACTTTTCAGGTATGCGAACAATTTTTTTTTTCGTTTTTTTTTTCATTGAAATCAAATAATAGATAAAAAGCGTGTCGATAATCGGGCAAACTCGAACGAGAGTTGAAAAAAAAAAAGATTCAAATTCGGGCATTGTATTTGCTGCCTTCATTATGGTCCGTATAAATTTTCAACCCTCTCGTTGTGTACATAATGATTGCATTATAACTGCAAGCTCGTTTTCTCTAATTAAGCAGCGAGCGAGCGAGCGAAAAAAAATCATTATTTCAATGAAAAGTGTATTTAGCGAAAGGCCAAGAAAAAATGATTCAGAAATTCTTTTTTTTTTATACTCGGCTAGGCTCGCTAAGAAGAAGGAGAGAAAGGAAACAAAAGGCGTGCTAATTACCGTGTCACATAATACATTATGCGCATGAATACCGCATTTCTCACGACTCCGACACACAAACACACACACACACACACACACACGTTCATGGACGTATACTCGCGCACACACGAGCTTGTATTAGTATATAACATGATGCATAATCATAACCCAAATAACTTATATATGTGTGTGTGTGTCACAATTTTGCAAGCTCTTTATTCTTATTACGTGCTCGCTATCAAGATTTCATACCCGTGTAATTATTCGCGCCTTCGGCTATTATAAAAATATATGCGCTTCGGCGCACAGCCGTGGACACACTCGACACACACACAGACAGACATGCACATAAACTAAAAATAGATGGTCGAGTCGAGTTCATTTTTTTATTTGTTTTTTTTTTTTTTTTTTTTCATAATCACATGCTTACCCCGCTCACCCAGGAAGTTGTTTTCTTATAACACGGCTCTTGAGCTTTATAGCACCTCGCGCACACAGCTCGATAAACTTTGAACAAGTTCGAAAGTTCAAGTATATAATGCCTGCGGAGGAACTGCCGCGTATGAACTTAAAGAAATAGTTGCATAGTTGCGCCTTTTTAATGTGCACGCGCGCGTGCGGCTCGCAGCGCATTGTTGCACCCCGGCTCCGGCTAGCGGTGGGGGGAGGCTCTTTTAATTAAAAAAAGAAAAAAAAGCAAAGAAAAATATGTTAAAGTTTCTCGATACAAAAAATTAATTTAGTTTAAGTTTTATATACTATATATTGTAAGCACCGAGTCTAACCGTGTATGAAACTTTCCTAATTGAATTATGCTAATGGGCCCGAGTATAAGCGAGCAACAATGAAACGATTATATCCTTGCGAGCTAAAGTATGAAATAATTTTTTTTCTTCTTCTTCGCTGCATCGAACGCACCTGGGATGCGCGCAGACTCGCGTGCGCAACTTTCGAATAAACGATCATGCCCAAGTAGTGCGTAGTAGGTATATAAGTACACACGCGGAATAAATGGCGAAAAAGCTCCTCCTCCCGTGCGCTCCCTTCTTTTTTTTTTTATGTATCTGTACATTACCCGCATCGACGATGATCGCGCACATTAAGAGCGCGGCGAAAGGCCAAAGCGTCGAGCTTTTCGCTTAATGGCTTTAAAAAGAAGTCTCCTCGCGTGCGCGTCCAGGACGATTAAAAATTAATTAAGAGTCAAAAGACCCTTTTTCATCGGCGCGACCTGCGCGAAATACGTACGAATTTTCTTTCTCTCGCGGTTTACAACTCGACTCCTTTTCTCGAAAGCTGCGGCCGTAAAGTCGCAGCTATTGCTTCGTTATACGATTGCCTGCGCAAAATATTATAATACGCCGTTAAAGAGTAATTATACGCGCCGGGGCGTCGTCGTCGTCGTCGTCTCCTTTCGGCACACACAGGGCCGGGCACGGGAGTTTGAAAAGATCCTTAAATAATTGAAATCATTAGTCTTTTGTTGAAGGAGTATTAACTTTCGCGCACTACTGTGCCTGGCTGCTTTGCGCCTGTGCACGCCGGGCGGAGCTCTCGCGCGCAGCGCGTCAGTTTAATGAGACAAGTTGCATCTCTAAAACTTGCGCGCCAGAGTCGAGCCGCGCGAGCTTTCGAGCTCGTTCGCTCGCTCGTCGGCGCGAGCATTTTCACAACAATGTCGAAAATTATTCCAAGTTTTTTGAGGAGATAGACTCTCTCGCGATGACGTTATTTGAATTTCGATCCTCTCGAGCTGCTGCTGCTCGAAGTCGATGTTGACGAGGTGAGAGAGAGATAGAGAGCAAATTAAGTTCACCAGCTCGTATACACACGCACGCATAAATATTTCTATCGATCGATCTTCAATCCTTGATTTAGTTAAATATTTATTCTTATTGATAATAATTCATTGAAATAAACTGTTTTCATAAAACATTTTTGTACATCGAGTACTTATTTTTTGAGTTTAGTTGGAAAAATGTTTAGTCACTCAATTACTCAAAAAATATCGTACAAAGAAGTTTAATTATCTGTATAATTGATCGAAGTTCATCGACTGGTGCAAAATAATTAAATAGAGATTTTAATATACCCTTGCGTGCATGGAAATCTATTTTGGGAGGCCGAACAAAATAATTCCACTTTCGAGGCGAGGATTTTTTGATGAGCAGCAATTACTAAGAGAAAAAAATTCAGCCGTTAAATAGGACATTGAAAATTTGTTTCAACGACGGTATTTCAAAGAACGAATATACAACTAAACCATTTCGATATTTGAGTTCACGTTTGAAAGGTGAGTAATAGATTTTCACAGTGACGACCAAATGAATAACTGTTTTAAAAGCTTTATTGTTCATGACAATGGTTGTCTAAAATTACTTAGCGTAAAACCCGTTTAATCACAAATTTAAATAATTTTAAATAAATTCCATACTTCTAAGATTTGCTACTCATATGTACTTCACTCATATGCGTTTCGAAGTCGATTTTGGATCTAAATGATTTGTGACAAGTCTCACATTCAAATTTTCTCCGTTTATGAATAGATACGTGAGCTTACGTGAGCTTTGAGTACATTCGGGTATCCAAATGATTTGTGACAAATACCACACTCGAAAGGTTTGCTACTCATATGTACTGCACTCATATGCATTTCTAAGTTGAGTTTGTATCCAAATGATTTGTGACAAATCTCACACTCGAAAGGTTTGATTTCCATATGTACTATACGGATGTGCGTTTCGAGATTAGTTTTTTTTTGTCTAAATTATTTGTGACAAATCTCACACTAGAAAGGTTTGCTACGATTATGTACAGTATTGATGTGCCTTTTCAGGTCACGTTTGTTTCCAAATGACTTGTGGCATGTCTCACATTCAAAGGGTTTGCTACGATTATGTACAGTATTGATGTGTTTTTTACGATCACCCTTGCGTCCAAATGATTTATGACAAATATCACATTCGAATGGTTTGACACGTTGATGTACTGAACTTATGTGGGTTTTAAGGTGATTTTGGTATCCAAATGATTTGTGACAAATCTCACATTCAAAGAGTTTACTACGATCATGTGCAGTCAATATATGAGTTTTAAGATGACTTTGGTATCCAAATGATTTTTGGCAAATCTTACATTCGACGGGTTTGTTTCGAATATGTACTATATTTATGTGAGTTTTTAAGTACGGTTTATGGCTGAATGACTTATGGCAAATCTCACACTCAAAGGGTTTATTTTGAATATGTACTCTATTTATGTGAATTTCGAGATAATCTTTTCGTCCAAATGATTTGTGACAAATCTCACACTTAAAAGGTTTGCTTTCCATATGTACTAAATTTCTGTGAGCCTTAAGCTTATGTTTCTCTCCAAATGATTTGTGACAAATATTACACTGGAAGGGTTTGTTTTTATCATGTACTTGATTAACGTGTCTTTTAAGCGAATATGTGTATCTAAACGATTTATGACAAATTTTACATTCAAGTGATCCATCGTTCTTATTCGTCGTTTCTATTTGTCTTGTTAAACTCGATTTTTTTCCAATGGTAAATTTACGGGTTTTCTCGTAATCGAATCCTATTTTAATTAAAGTTGTAAGCCTTTTCGTATTCAAATCATTTGCTGAATTTTCTTCCTTTACAGTCGTAGCTAGGTAGATGGTCGTCAATGAGGGCTTATGTTCCTGTTTTACCAATACGCTCTCGCAATCTATAAAAATATCCTCATCTGTCTCCTGCTGCGACGAAATACATTCATTGGTGGGATTTGCCTAAAATTAAAATTGTGTTATAGTTTTTTTATGAAGCAAATCAGAACATAATTTCAAAAGATAGAACTCACCGATGATTCATTTGGCGATGATTCATCAGAGTTTTCAGTTTTCACCGAGAACCCCGGATCGACACTCACGTCGGCTACATCTTCCCAATCGTCACGAGGCTCCTCTTTAACACTAAAGAAACGATCGTTTAAAAATATATCTTTGGCATGCATGAAAAAGTGTATACCTAACTAAATCCATTCCGCTTTCCATCGCTTCGTTACAATAATTTGTCTTGAAATTATTCAAAATTAGATGCCTCTAGTAGCCAATACCGTATCTTATTTTCATCAACAAACGTGTACGGATATTATTTGTAAACACTTCTTACAGCATGAAATGATTAATAGCGACTGAGCGTAGACAGTTTTGTACAACGATGAGTTGCCACTGACATGTAATCAACATTGTACCGAGATTGTAATGAAAATATCATTCACTTAGGCGCACAATTAGCTCACGCGAACGGGCGATATGTGCGCAGAAACAATAGCACCAAGGGTATATTTTAACTAAACATATTTAAGAGAGCGATTGAAATGTCTGCGGTGTTTACATCTTATCTCGAAAACAATTCTTGACACGACGTTTTACGCTCGACGTGGCTGTACCTACCTATACACCGACGGAATCTCAATTCCAAGCGAAAAACCGCGAAAACGATTCAAGACGAGCCATGTGGTTGCGTTTCGAGATATATGTATTATAAAGCGAAGAATTCACGCGTTACGTAACTCTGCCTCTTGGAATAATTCATGGAAAATCCATGTTCTTCTCATTCGAGTACATCATAATACGGAGAGAGAGAACATTGGCTTATACGTCTTACATTATATGCCAAGCGCTCGCTTGTACGGTGCACATACACAGCTGCGCGGATCGTGGCATCCCTCGAGCGCATACATACGACGACGGCGACGCACAATATCGTATCATAAAGTTTTCGCTCGAAAATGCACACGTACACACACACACACACACACACAGCCAGACACTTGCTGCATGCGTGCACGTTTTGCCCGGATTATATTGAGACAATGCACATCAACGAACAATACCCCCGCTGGCTTACACATAAGCGTGTTAGATTGTTGCTGTTGTAGTTGTTGCTGTTGCTCTGCGCGCATACATTATTATCATCATTATTATGTTTCTTCGTCCTCTCTTTGCTGCTGCTGCTGCTGCTGCTTGCCGCCTGTGATCCGACGCGCGATCGACGCGCGCCGCATGTATTATATAATAATAAACGCATCTCGCGTGTGTTGTTGGAGGAGCTCTCCTCGAACTTTTGCGCGCTGATGACGAGCGCACCGAGACATAGCCCAAAGTTTAAATCATTTTACGCGCGCGGCGTACTGCGAGAGCGTCTGAGTGAGCGGCGCGTCTGACGTGACTCCATGTAGTACTACTGCGGCGTCGTGTGTGTGTGTGCGTGTGTGTGTGTGTGTGTGTGTAATACAATCGACTCAAGAATTTCGTCGTAAAAATGAAATTTTTATTCTAAAACTATCGATATTTCAAGTGTGTTTCTGGCACAGAGATTGCTGCAATTTGTGCGTAAATATTAATGAAAAATGTAGTCGTGAATTTTCTGCACGATAAGCCTGTGAAAAATAATCTCTCTCTTTTGAGAGCACAGAGAGAGAGAGAGAGATATATAAAAAATGGAATTCGAAAAAATTTGTAGCGCAGCGAATGAACATTTTTACGTATTTGTCACGTATATCAATGCAGCGCAGCGGCGGCAGTAGCACACAAGAGTCTCTCTCTCTCTCTACCCCGGCATTAAGAATACTTTTTGCCATTCCCCGCACGTACAACTACAAACCAGTCCGTAGAATGTCTTTATTATTCACGAATTAAAGCGCAAAAAACTTTCATATTTTTACGACGCTCCACATTGAATATATCCCCGCAGCGGCTGCGGCAACAACACACGCAGCGGCCGAAGTGCATGCAAGAAGCTTCTGCGCAATTCTCTCGCGAGCAAAAAAATCCGTGTTACCTGCGAACGATATACATACATATACACGTATAGATAGATATATGTATATTTAGCATGAATATAGCTAAGGATAAAAAGATGCTCGTTGCTCGAGTAAAATAAAAAGAGGAAGAAAAATATAGAGAATGAAAGTATGAAGGACCTACATAAACCGAGATTCTCAAGTTTGCCGGAGGAATTTTATGGTCCAGGCGCGAACAACTGCCATTTTATCATCTCTCTCTCTCGAGCTCTCCTTCTACTCTCTACCCTCTCACGCTGCGAGAAATCGATCTCTCTTTCCTCGCCTGTAGCGAAAGCTTTACGTTTGCTACTGCTGCTGCTGCTGCTGCTGCTGTGCCCCGAGAATTCACGCGCGCGCGGCGCTTTTAAAAGGGATATGAACTTTAAGCTACGTTGAAAGTGCGCAAATATTCTATAATTAACGTAATATTTTATCCCCCTTCCGAGTCGCTTTACCTCGCGGGGCGCGCAGTTGCTTTCATGTGAAAAAATTCCGAATTCAGCGTACGTGTGTAGAGAGCCTAGGTGTACGTCCGCTATTCGCTACTTTGTATGAACACAAGGACGCGCGCGCGTGGGGGCAAAAATTTGACGATGGAGTTTTTATTGGGAAAAGCTCGCCGGCTAAAGGATGGCGAGCGAGCTTTTTTTCAATATAGCAGGCTTGAAAAATTGTTGAATGTAGGAGAGAGAGAGGAGCCGTTAGGTCATAGAGCTGCTGATTAAAATAATTCTCATCGAGAGAGAGCAAACGTTTTTTTTTTTTACTGCGAGAAAAAAAATTCCTGCCGATAAATCAATTTGTTTTTGCAGATACGGATGCGCGCACAGCTTTTATGGCCAATAGGTATTCGAGTAACGAAGTAAAAATGTTGTTGTTTTTTCTGTTAGTTGCAACTTTTTCAATTTTGTAAAATTGAACAACGAGATCGCGCGGATTATATTTTCAACGAGCGCGTCGAGCGTATAAACGCTCGGACGAAGTACATAAATTTATCAGCGCCGAGCTTCCGGTAAATTACCCGCAGTTTTTACGATTAAGGAATCCCAAAACAAATGAAAAGGAAAGCGATCCAGCCATCCGTAAATGTGTGTGTGTGTGTGTGTGTGTGTGTGTGTGTATGTGTGTTGCCGCACGTGCAACGAATCCAAGGCATCGTCTTGCCGAGGCGAAAAAAACGCACAGGCCCGCCAGCGCGTATATGGCCGCAAAAAATCACTTTAATTTATTATCCTCCCAAGCGTGCGTGTGTGTGCTTGGGTTCTCTTTGTTTTTTTTTTTTTTTTTTTTTTTTTCGTTACACTCCTGCGAAGTCACGGTGAAATCGTTCGAGAGCTGCTGCCCCTGCCCCCTTTCGAAGGTCATCATGTGCAGGACCGCAAAAGCTCAAGCATAAAGCTGTCATTTCCCCGATACTTGTCGTTATACGAATGCGATTTCTAGGTACGCACACGATCGATCACTCTCGGACCGAAGCGAATTCAAGTACTTTTTAAGGAGATCTTCCCATTTCGGTCTCGCAAGCTCTAACTCTTGCTAATTTTTTTTTTGTTTATTTTTTTCCAAGGAAAAAAGTTGAACATATTTGGTAGTTGTAAAAGTTAAAGCTGCACGATTCGAGGCTCGTACAGAAGAAGTAGACGAAAAAAAAAGACGCGACAAGGGTAGATTATTTTCGCATAAACATATTTGAAGCTTTACACGGGTTGTGAAAAATGTGTGGTAACTGGTAACGGCTCTTCTCTCTCTCTCTCGCTCGGCGCGGTTACGACTTTTTGCAAACGCGCGCCGTGCGGGTAAAAGTAGAGCATCCGAACGCAAAGCCGAGCGCGCCACTACACGTACACACACACACACTACTACTACTACCAACGCTGCTATAAGCTCGAGCTAGCTAGCTGCTACTAGTACGTGTAAGCTCTAGATAAGTGCGCTGTGTGTGTGCATGTACGAGTGCGTTCCAGATTTTTGATGCATCGCGCGCGTTTTCTCTCTTTCTCTCTCTCTCTCTCTCTCTCTCTCTCTCTCTCTGGCAATATAGCAGTACGAGTGTGCATGTGTATGTGTGTGTGTGTGCAGCTCGCGTAGATTTCTTTTATCATTATTTTTGCGGCCGCGCGGAGTGCAGTGCAGTTTAGCTTTTGCCTGCGCCGCTGCAGCGGAGGATCGAGAGCTGCTCCGTTCTGCGCGCGCCTTACGGCACGATGCGTGCGCGCGTTTTATTATACGCCTGCGAGCTAGCTAGTTGATAATATTTTTTTTTTTTTAATGAAACTTCCTTAGCCGCGCACGTTGGGTTAACCGCAGTTCGTAAACAGCTTTTATCGATTTTTGAACGAACGAGCTTTAAATGCAAAAAAAAATGTTAATCTTGATACGGTTATTTACAGAATTTATTGGCGGTTAATTAGGAAATGTTGGACCGTGAATGGATGTGTAGTGTATCGTAAAGAGCAAGTGGCTGTGGAACAAGAGAATCCATTGAAGAAGATGAACTTAACTGCAAAACTATATATTTTCGAGGAATATAACTATAAAACTATATATTTTCACTTTTGGAATCGATCATGACATCTAGCGGTTAATTCCCTATATTCCTTGAGTGATCAAATAAATTCCATGACTTATATCAAGATCGCTGTATGCGTACTACTACACGTTGACCATAGATTTTCGTACCGCAGCTATACTGTGTATAAATACCACTATATATATCGCATTCAACTAGTTTATTAAAAGTTTATAAAGCTCTTTTACTGAAATTTCTCCAGTCGGGTTGCAGCTTTGCTGCTGCTGCTGCTGCTGCAGCCATTTGCCGCGCGCGCAGGACAAGGGAGAGATTGATTGATTGATTGATTAAACAATTTTTATTCGACCTTGGGGTACAACCCTGACTGGCCGTAAAGCAACAATAATACATTAGTTGTATAGGTATAANTATTTTTTTTTTTTTTGAAAAATTATATTTTAAAAATAAATAGCTGAATCAATCTGAATTTCACACAATAAAGATTATCCATTAGAAAAGCTGTAAAAAAAATTTCAGATGAAAATATTGAAAATTGTTGATTTTCCATTAGTTTTCCTCGGTTGTCCTATTTTCCTGCGTTGAGCAAGATGTTTCCTGACAGAATCATCTGAAACCTAATATTCGACATATTTCTTAAAGGTTTATACCCTTGGCTTGATCAGGGAGGGATTGATCGAAGGAAAAGGAGAAAAAATTAAATTTGATGAATTGATTGATTGATTGATTGATTAAACAATTTTTATTCGACCTTGGGGTACAACCCTGACTGGCCGTAAAGCAACAATAATACATTAGTTGTATAGGTATAATTTTTGTTAATTTTTACTCTCGTACTTA